CAGGTAAACATGCAAGTTTTCAAGCCCTGGACAAACAGTAAGTTACACTTATTATGGTCCTTTTGTGAAGTTTTTTTCCTTTTTGGGCTTGGGAGGTGTGAGATAGGGGATGGCCAAGCATTTCTTGTAGTGTGGTGGGCCAATGACTGAGAGATGCTGAAAGAAGGATGCTGGAAGCAAACCCTCCCGTGGCACACAGGACAGGGAACCATATGTGATAATGGAGTATTTCATGCCTACCCAGAACTCACTTACATTTTTTCTTATCCTGTTTGTACCTCCACAGTAGAGGTTGGACCAGCTGTGGCTGGCAGGGAGAACGCTGGGCAGTGGTTGGGTGATAAAAAATGTAACTAAGTGTGCCCCAGGCAACACACAAGCAGGTGGGCACTTGCGAAAAGCGCAGAGGGAAAAACTGCTACAGCATGCTGCAGTTTATGACCTTCAAGATGTAAGTTACAGTTGCAGGCAGACTGCCTGGAAATTGTAACTTACGTGTTTTGCAGATTGTTACATTTTCTGCCTGTGGATGCCAGGAAATTGTAACTTACATTTTCCAGGGTTTTCTGAGAAAGTGTAACTTACATTTTCCAGGCACCCTCGAACAGGAAAATGTAAGTTACATTTTTTCAGGTCCCCCCCTGCATACTGGGTAGGGATGTTGTAGTTTTCGGATTTGGAGCCCCCCCATCAAAGCCCACTTTCCTTAAGATACTAACCAATCAAACCAGTACTGGTTTGTGGTGCAATGCTGCACTCTCATGAATCAATGAACATGGCTCCAGAAATAAGATGAAATAATATGAAATAACTATAACAATATCCATTGTAGTTACACACGATTTGAGCTCAATTGGCTTCTTGGACTCAATGCATGAGACGGTTGTTCAAAAATAGAAAAACATGCGGCTGTTCGACGGACCAACATGTCCCGCAACCGACCGATGTGGTGTATGCGATCCGAAGCCAAGGGGCGCCCCGTGCCACAGGTACCAAGCGATCATGGATTCAAGGATCCAATCAATCGCTCAACAACGAATGGCACGTTCTCAGGACGGGATGAGATTTATGCAACAGTGAGCTGCTGTTGCTTTTAATGATTCTCAAGAATGCACTCTATGAAGTTGTGTTAGCAGGCAAGGCACTTTTTGTGGAGAACATGTTTTCCAAGTGGTTGCTTGGAGTGTGTTGTTTCATGGTCAAGATACGTAAAATCGTCCTTTTTTTTTGCCAGAGCAAGTATTTTCTCCCAAACTTTGGTACCATTGGTCCTTTGGAGGAGCCATAGGCTTCCAGACGAATTCCAAGGATCAACTGTCATTTCTGGGGAGAGCCGATGGGGGCTGCATTGACACACAAAATATTGAACGCGCTTTCCAAAAATGCTGCACATTGGCTAAGTTAACCATCCCAGACTCAGTGACCCACATTGAGGGTCACGCCTTTGCGGAGTGCAGCTCTTTGGCGAACTTGACCATTCCCCAACTCCGTGACCCACATCGGAGATGATGCCTTTGGTTGCACATCTTTGGGACCAGATTCGAGATGCACAATTTACAAGGTTGCAAACGCAGCTATACTCGCACTCGTGACAGTCACACTCGTTGGCCATGACAGTCATGGTCAACGAGTGTGACTGTCACGAGTGCGAGTATAGCTGGTGGGTTTGTCCTGAATGGCGCTAACAAAGAAGGATCGACCCAGTCTGACCCGATGTCCGGAGTGAAAAAGTGAGACCGACCTGGCGCCATCCTTAAAAAGCCCGGAGCCTCTCTTGGAGTTGGCTTGTGTTTCCTAGAAACCTAGAACCAGAGGAGATCATGTACAACTAATCGCGTATAACATCGAACATCGACAGGCATCATCTCCAAGATCCTGCCCCCCGGCAGTCAGCTGTGCTCTCAAGGAGCATTTGAGCATCGATGCTGAGACGCCGGTGGATGAGGCCTTGAGGCGAGGGGTCCCAGGTTTGGTGGACAACGGCCAGTGGACTTGGTGCTGTCCAAGAGGATTTCATTTGTTTGGAGGAGTGCTCTTGTGCAAGTACCCAACGAGGTTTTGGCAAGAACTCGAAATGTGAAATGTTATTCTTTACAACCATATCTATGTTTGTTTGTTTTTTTAAGTCTCACCTAGCCTAGCCCTGCTTTTCATGTTTTTGGTCCTTTTATGGCTGGTGGGAACAAACATAGACGTGTTTGCTGCTTGGAGTGGACCGCTCGCTTGGCTCGCTCGGCAGGCAAGAGCTTCAACGCTTGAGGCGGAGCTCCAATCTGCGACACTGGTCCGAGCGCTTAAAGCGTGTGTGGAAGCAAATAGGAAGACCAAATCTCAACCAGTCAGGGTTCACATTCTCTTCACAAAGTTGTATTGGCAGCGTGAATCACAGGCCTTGGGGCTTGGAGCCCCTTTTTCTGCAACGAAACAAACAAAACAAACGAAAGACTGAAACAAACAAACTCGCCACAGGGGTTCATTTGGTGCTGTTTTCGTTCCTGTTTCTCTTCTGCTCTTAAGAGGGGTGGGTCTCCCCTTGGGCATCAACCTTGATATATTTATGGCCCATGGCCATCCTCAGAAACACAAAGTGAAGATTCCCCCAATGAAGATCTTCATAAGAAATCATTTGGATTCATTTGGCAATCGTCCACGATTTTCCAGAAAACTGTTTCTTCAAAGATTGCCCACTGGTTCCTGGAAGTCTTTTGACATCTGGAACTGACCTCCAAAAACCCTGGTCCGCCCAGGCGAGGCATGTTGAGTCCGCGACCGTCAGTTTGAGGGGCAAAAGAGCGGCTTCTTTGCGTCCACGGTGCCGGGCCGGGCACGGTAGGTTCATTTGATAGCATCATTTTGCGTCCATGATATCAGAATCCATTGACATGTGTCACGTCACATGTCATAGTATGTCTCTCACTTTGGTGAAACAAGCTATCCAGTTCCATTGATTTGTGCAAGTGCACTTGTCGATTCATAGATGAACAGAAGCACCAAAATACATGTTGGGCCATGTCGAACATGCTTTTGCAACAAGCTTGCATTTGCTTTTGGCCGGCTTGAGAAGAAGGCTGCGGCTAGGGTGCAGATCATACAATATGATGAGTCTGCAAGAACGGACAAACACCGGACGTGTAGAGACAAGATATTGTTAGAGCAGGTTGAAACATCCACAACTGACCTGTCAAACTTATGAGTATATCAAGTATAGAGGTTTGGTCGGCATTTGTAAGTTAATTTGTTCTCTTGATATATTCCCACTTGAACCAACAACTCCCAGCAAGAAACAATTTACTGCCAAAATCAGGTGCTTTGAAAACCCCACCGTAGCCCTCTTTGTCCGGCACCCGTCGCCCGTCGATCTTGCACTCATGTGGCCTGAAAAGCCCAGCACGGTCGGGAGCCTGAAAGCTTTGAAACGGTGAACGCTCCATCGATGGAAATCTTTGGGGGTCGATCTGATCAGGTTTTGGATGGTTTTGTTTGGGTGGGAGATTATAATGATGTTGAAGAGGACACAGATATGCTGAGAAGCTGAGAATCCGGGCTTTAATGCATGCAGTGATGAACCTATTCGCCCGATTGCGATCCAACAAGGATGAACCAGAACAGTTTGCTCTAGAATTGAACAAGGGACACCAAAAAGGCTTTAATTATTGTCACCTACTATTCTTAGTGACATGGTGAGGGACAGGTCAACGTGACCAGGAGCTGACTGGCGCCAGCCGTCGTCGAACTCACAAGAGACCCCCTCGGACCGATCAAGGATGAGACCCAGGGGCCTAGGGGGTCCCTCCAATCACCACCCAGGCGGATGATCAACGGATTGGTTCGGAGCATGGATTGATTGGAGAGTTTTTTATCAACTGATTGGAGAGTGATGATAGCGATGTGGACTCCATTCGAGGGCATTGGAGCATTGGTTGATCAACGGATTTGGTTCGGAGCATGGATTGATTGGAAAACTTTTCTCCGCTGATCACCCCTTTTTGTTCTCTCCCATCTCCACGCCTCGCGAACGCCCAAACGGGATCCGGCTCCAGGCACCCGCCGCGCCAGAAGCACTGGGCATGGCAGGTCCCCGTGGGGGCGAATGGCCTGGAGCCGTCAGTCAGAAGCTCAGGAGGCCAAATGGAAGGAGGTGGAAGGTCCAACCAAAAGGGGAGACTCATGAAATCATCATCCCTACCACCCTCACAGCCGGTGTTTCTGTGGTTGGGTTTCTTTGTGTTTAATTATCTTAGATCTTTTGTTGTGTGTGTGGGTGTGCAACAAAGCAAGGAATTTCTTGGGAAAGCAGATTGGTTCATATTTTGGGCGTTCCCTTCATGTCAGAACGGAAGGTGTCATTGGCTGAGATCTTGGGTCACCAAATGTCTTCTTGCTGGTATCGATCGGAAGCTTGTGGCCGGGAGACGAGAGTAGAGATTAGACTTTAGAACAACATCCAACAGCTTTGTGAGCTATTCTGCTATTCTTGTATTGTCTACATGTCCCCCCCGGTGAGTCGTGTGGGTCAAGTATAGGTCAAGCATAGTTCAAAATTCGCCGTCTAGGCCCTTCCCTCTATACCGTAAAGTTTCAATATGTTTCAATGTTGCATATCCCAACAAGAGTCACCAGCAGAAGCTGCTATATCTTAGGTAGGGATGTTGGGTACACTCCCAGTTGACTAATTTGTTGGCCTTGGACTTTGAGCATACTCAATGGCGTCCATGGTATGAAGATTGCTTCAGAGGAAGAATGTATGAAACCCAGACAAGTTGGCCACGCATGCACTTCCCTTTATGGTTTAGGCTTAGGTCCTTCATTGAGATTGTATGTTCGCCTACTCGCTTCACTCATTTGGGGCCAATCGCTTTCACTCATGGCCGTGCGCAGCCTCGCTTTCTGCTTTTCAGCCTGCTTTTCAGCCTGCAGACTCTATCCCATCATGTGGTCGCCACATCTCGCACCTGTCGCATTTGATCAACTTCAAGATGACCTGTCATGGCATGATCCGCCCACTCACCGGCGGTTCGGTTCTCACGCCAAGGCGCCATGTTCACCGACCGGTTCACCGTCAGGGCCCAGCGGGGATATCAATCGGCAGCCGGCCAGGATCGAGGTTCGATGGGTTTCTGCAGGTTTGGTGGATGTTTTTGTGATGTGTTCGTTATGAAGGTCCCATGAAGGTCTGAAAAGCACAGTTTGTCTCATGATCCACAGACACGGGTCACTTCGCTGAGGCCTTGCCGTTGAGACGCAGAGTTGTTGATGCTCCCTTCAAACATGGTGCACCAGAAGGGTTGAGGCCTTAGCTGAGACCCGGAGTGCTATTGGCTGCTGTGTTGACTCTGTCAACTCATCGATGGCTTAATCAGCCGCCTTGAATGGTTGATTGATTAATCTAGAGGAGATCTTCCCGGGTCGGGACCAACAAATCGGTATATGGTACCTGGCATCGACTGTCTGGACCAGACTTGTGACTCAGCAAGTGGAAGACGTGATCAACTTGGATTTGATGTGGTTCTAGGCACCTCCGATTTGGACTCCCGAGTGACTCTGCTGGTACTATGTACTTGTTTCAGGTTCTAGGAGATTCTGAGATCGTTACTTTTTCTAAAGTTCATCCCAGATGTGTTCCTATCTAAACAGTTATATAGTGCACCCACATGGTCTAACCACCACTCCACATTTGGACGCCACGGACCCAGCGCAGACTGAGCGCAAGCTCGTCAGCTGAACCGAGGCTGGCCAGGAATGGTTTTGGCAGGCAGGAAGGGTTGGATTTTGGATGCTTACATCCAGGGTTCTTGTGACCAGGGGGTGATGCGGACAGGGCATTTCGTTGCTTTTGATGCTGGTCTGTGTGGGCACAAACTCTTGGGACACGGACTTGTTTTTTAAATGGATTGATATCATGTCATAGACTTGGATCCATCTTGATCCAATCACCTGCAAAATCATCCAGGCGAATCCAGACGATCCAAACATCGAGACGCCCAAACAAAGACGCTGAAAAAGACGACGTGGAGACGTGGAGCGGAGGTATTTCACCGATCCGGAGGGTTTGACCGTCCACGAGGGGAAGAAGCTGGTGTCCAGGCATGACGGCAAGGCGCCGAAAGAGCGAGTTCGTCCAGGGAGGGGTGGCAGCCAAAAAGGAGACGGGGAGCGTTGCGAAGCATCGGTGTGTTTTTATATATGTGTGTTTTTTCCGGCATGTTAACCGAGTTTTTACGCTGTGTTCACCCGTTTGGAGTGAGTTCGTCCAGGGGAGCGTCGAAGACACCCTCCCCTTGCGCCCATGTTCTCCGCGAAGACGCGCAACCTGGAGCGTTGGGGGCTGACCAACAAGGCCAGCCCAGGAGCGATGGTGAGCAGCCAACCCCAAGCTCCGACCGAAAGCCGTTCTTCCGCAGATCTGCCAACGACCTTGCACCGTATCTGCCGCAGTATGTCTCCTTTACGCGCCCGAAAGAAGAGGGGCTGCGCTTGCCTTTGCGTGGTGTGTTTCCGATCTTTTGGGGTGGTCCATCTTCGGAGGCGACCTGCAAATCATCGCTTGGAGCCTTCCTCTCATCGATTTCACGAACTGCTCCGTGCCGAAGATGGGCCGATTCACCATGTATGCTGCTCGCGCTGGACGTTCCACGAGACGACACGCGGTCCATGTCCATGGGCTGCTCCCCGCCAACACATCCAAGAAAGCACCTCATGAGTTTGAGGCAGTTGCATGCAGTTGCTCTCTAAGCTCTATTTACTTTGTGCTTGAAATACGTGTTTGCGCTTGAAACATGTCCTAAACTGATCACTAACCATGGTTTAAACCGGTATGGCAAGTTCGTGCAGCTAGTAGCAGCTAGTAGACCCCTCCAGTGGAGCCCATCGAACACCGCCTCAGCAAGAAGTCTGAACACGTTTTGTTGAGAGCGAAGCCAACAGCTGAAAATTCTCCCAAAGTGAGTTTTCAGCTGGTGTTCTTTTTGCTATGGCGTGCTCATGGCCCTGCCCCACAGCACATGTTCCAGACAGCGCCAGTCCTGCCTCACGCCGGCGCTTTGCTCGCGACCCCCTGGCGACCCCCTGGCGACCACTGCCCCTCCCGCTGTCACGACGTGTGTACCGTCGCCCGATGTGGGTCTCTCGACGTGTTTCTTTTCACGAAGGGTCGTGGATAGACCGACCTGCTTGGACCGGTCGTTCCGACACTGAGCGATGAAGTGGTTCTGTGCTTGGTGCGGACTTGGTGTTCATGGGAGCGGTTTTTGAAAAACATGGCATGTTGGCTTCGCTCACCTGTTCAGTTGTTTTCCTTCTTGAAACAGCAGCCGTGTGTGTGTGTGTGTGTGTGACAAAGTTCGACCACTTGTTTAAAGCTGCAATGGCTTGTTGATTGCTGTGCGAGCTCATTCTACATAGTTACTGACGAATGCGTCTAGATGTTGCCACGTGTTCCTTGTTTTGCTCGTTAAAAGACGCCCTGTCGGTCGCTGCCAGTGGTCTAATAGTGTTTACGACGAAATCGCTTCCATTTGGATCCCATGCTCCAACCGTGTTGGGTTTCCATCGGCTGGTCGGCGATGGTCGCAGCGTTGCGACGTTCCTTCGCGTCCGTGTGTCGCACGCGCCGGGTGACGATCAAACTACGCTTTGCGAGAACACCCACGGTCCCCAGTGGCGCGGATTTGCGAGACCACTGCCGCCGTCACGATTGGAGTGGCCCGGCTCGTCCCGTCGCGCGCTTTGCGCACCTCGACTCGGCGCGGAACACTCCATCAACGCACCTCGACTTGGAAGGGGGTTGATGGCCATGGCACTGATGGTTGGACGCCCCTCAACGACGTGCAGTTCTGCTCTGTGAAAGCGAGCCACATGTTTAGCACGACATTTTGACACCCAGCGCGGGCGCTGCGCGTGCTTGCTCTTTACACTTGGTGCCTGATTGCTATGCCGGCAACTGACTGAACTGCAGTTTGCTTGGGAACGAGTCCTGAATGTGGTCGGCCGTAAACATCTGGCCCAAGCCATAAGCATCTTGGAACTCAAGTCCCGAACGCTCCAGCCGTCCGCCGCGGCTCCGTCGTTGGACCCGGCATCGCGGGCTCCCAAAGGTCGCAACATGTGCTGCGTTGTGTTGCATCGTATTGTATGACACACATGCAATTTTGCACAGTTATAAGATGTTATAAGTCAACTATAATGAGTGAATAGGAAGTGTAGCCCAAAAAAAAACGTTGAGTCCTGATGCCACCATCGGCCACTTGGGTGATCCAGGCCGATGATGTGGCCACTTTTGGGGTCATCCGCAGTGGGAGCGCGCGAAATCATTAGCGTTTTGTTTGGCTTGGTGACGTCCATTTGATAGTACCAACCACCTAGGACCTAGAGTTATGACCTTTTCCGATCAAATTCTGGTGTCAGATTTGTTAAGAACAGACTAGTTTGTTCCGATGTTTGATGTGCCAAACCAGCCATTGTAATATATAGCTGTATTGCTTATTTGGATTTATTTGGGGAATGTCAGCCACAATTTGAGTGGTCGGTTGTTCATAAGTCTCATGATCAACCTTCGCTCTTGTCCAGCTTTCATAGTATGATCCCTCCGCTAAAAAAGTACTTGGAGAGGGTACTCAGTTAGCAATTATGTTGTTCTCAATGTTTCTAGTTCTTCTCCGAGCATGTGTGGAGAAGGTTTGTGGAAATCTAAGTCGGACAATGAAATTAATTGGCATTCTCCCAGTGTGCCTTGGATCAAGCTAGGGTCATGTCTCCTTGAGAAATAGTCAAGAGGTTGCGGAGAGGTTGCACACCCGTCATGATGCATCACGTTGTGCGAGGGTATTCATTGAGTTTCTTTTGTCTTCATCCACTGGTCTAGTTTGCCCCCTGCGCTTTCCCAAGCCTATGCTTGCCAACCAAATCAACCTACCCCTCCAGCGGCCAACCCCCACTGAATTAATCTTTGCTGCCTGGTTTCGAGTGTGGTGGCCACTTTCCTGCCTGGCTTTCATGCAGTGCCCACTTTCCTGCCTGGTTTTGAATGTTCTCGCTACTATCACGCCATTGAATTGCTTTTGTATTTGTGTTCATTAATTTGTTTGGTTTGCCCCCTGCGCTTTCCCAAGCCTATGCTTGCCAAC